GTGGTGACGGCGCCGGAGGCAGCCCTCCACCGCCACTGACGGCCGCCACTGCCCTGCTTGAGCAGACGCCTTCTCTATGGCGCTGACGGCTCCCGCCCCTCCGGCTCTGATAGCTCCGCAGCGCTGAAGCGAGCGCACTGATGCCGGTCACTTCCACGCTGGCTCCTGCCTCCGCTGAGGTGACGGCAGTCGCCGTGCCCTGCACGCAAGCCTTGCACTTTCAAGAGCCTCGAAGTCGCACTGCCGTCAACCCGGCTGTCTCCCAAAAGTCTCACAAACGCCACGCCTGTGAAGACAGAACCGCGACGAACAGATTGCATGCAGAAGGTTTCACGATGGCAGCACCGCTGTCATGCATTCCTGCTGCTTCTGAGCATCGCCGACTGGAGCCCACGTCTGCTGGCCACCTGTGCGCCACCTGTCGCTGTTGCTCATCACACCCGCTGTCGCTGCCACTGCTCGTCCAGCAAAGGACTCGCAAATCTCACATTGTCCAGTGCATTTGGCGCCGGTGATGCAACAGACGCCAGTGAACATCAGAGCGCTGTGCCAAAACCTTGAAGTTCATGCGAATTATGATGCAGGCTCAAATTGAGTGATCCCTCATCGGTCATCAGCAATAAGGTTCTCATGGCCTCAAAGGCAACACAAGTCAGCTTGCACAGCTCCTAATGAGCTCTTCAAGCAGAGCAGCATTGCATGCAACCACATTCTGCCACAGATAATGAGAGGAACGTTCTCACAGCCAAGGCTGCATATTGACAAACTCCCTGAGCTCACCTTGCTAGGGAGCAGCAAACCATGTACACCGGTAACAAGCATGAACATTACCCAGAAGCCCTTCAGTAGAAATTCAGAATTGATATCAAGCGCCCTAGGACTAACAGAATTTTAACTGTTATGAGCTCCCAGTAAAAACGCACTGGTCTTGCCTGCATGAGCAAAGCGCATGCAGATCTCCCTTTGGCATGTATTCTTGAGGAGGGGCAAAGCCAGGCAAGTGCAGGCCCACCCACCTGCCGCGGCCGAGGGTGGGTTGCCAGAGTGATGGCGGCCGCAGCTCAGAGAGTTGCGAGGGGTGCTCCGCAGCAAGCGCGCCGGAATGCATCGCCGGCAGTCCGGCTGGCCATCATGACGCCGCTGCCTGATGAGGGTGCGCCCGCTGCATGCCTGGAGAACACAAGTGCTGGTGTCAAGGACTCCTGCCAGAAAAGCCTGCGAGAATGAAGTTGAGGGGAGGGCTGCGGAGCGCATCACAGGAAAATGCATGAGCAGGCCCCACATGTGTGGCTGCAGACGTCCTATCTGCGAGCTCTGTGGCATTGATCAAGGATAGCAAGCAGTGGCGCTTCAAACCAATTGCATGTGGCGGGAGCAGGCCGGCCGGCGCACCTGCCGCTGCAGCAGCTTGCGGCCGCGTAGCCCCAGATCCTGGACACCAAGGTCCTCACAGCCTGCCACGCCCATGCGCTGCTGCTGCCGTGGGGAGGGAGAAGTCGCCCGGCTGGGGTCCTGGCGCCCCGGCCGGCCCAGCGCGCACGCCGATCCGGCTGGAGGTGAGCCTCACCTGCGATCGGGCAGCCAGGCAGGTCAGCGTGCACGTCTGAGCACAGCTGCGCGCGGCCGGCGCGAGGAGTGTCGACTGCAGATGCCTAAGTAGCAACCAAGGCGCCAGGCAGGCTGGGACGTGCCCCTCAGCAAAAGCCCTGGCTGCAGGTGTCTTGCGGCCCCTCAGCAAGACTCTCTGGTGATAGGAGAACGGCTCGAGGTGTGAAGCCCAGAGCATGGTGGAGCCTGACCCCTCGCTGAGCAATCCTGCTTTCTGAGCATGGCTGACCCTGCCAGGGAGGCCAGGCATCAGGCTGGTCCAGCCAGGTGCCGCCAAATTATTGTTGAGGAATGGTTAGAGCACGGCGAGGTGAGCTGCAGGGTCCACACCTGCAGCAAGGCGCGTCCACAAGTGGAGATCTGCTGCCTCGATCTGCTCAGGTGCCAGCCTCTGGCAGGGCTAGCAGCTGTCCGGCGCCGCGTTCCGACGGATCTGCAGCATGCAGAGATGGCTTTGGTGGCAGGAGGAGCGTGAAAGCATGTCGATCAGGGCGCTTTTGGGGTCAGGTCAGGACATCGCGCTGGCCATCCTCGAGCCCAGCAGCCACAGCGAGGGAGGATCGCCACAGCAACCAGTGCATAAATGTTCACAAACATGATACCTGAGATCTGCGGAGGCGAAGGGTGCGCCGGCGAGCTCCTGGGCTCCAAACCGGACAGGGATGCGCATCGCAACATGTGCAAAGTCCGGCGCCGGGCGACGCACTGGCGTGCCAAAGGCCCGGAAGCAAGAAATAGCAAGCTACACGATGCTCTTGTCAGGGCGCGGCAGCCTGGGAGCCCGCAGAAAGTGTCGTTGCAAGGGCAGCAACAGGTGTGGCACTTGTGCGAAATGTTGGATCCTGCCCAAAATGACATCCAGGCCGGCCGCGCGCCTGCGGTGGGGGCCTGC